ACGCCAGCAGCCTGGAGACTTAGAAAAGCTGATAGTGCAGAGGAAGTCTGAAGGCAGCCTGCTAATAATTCCATCACGCTTGGGGAATGCCATCTTTGTGTTCGATTCGGGCCTTCAACTGATTGGATGAGGCCCATCCACATTATGGTCGGTAATGTGCTTTACTCAGATTTCACTGATTTAAATATTAATCTCATCAAAAACTTTCCAAAATGACATATAAAATTAACCATCACAAGCATCTCTCAAACTTCACAGGTTCAGGTTCAAAATAAAACTCTCCACCCTTCCATTGCCCCTCTGCTTCCAAATCTTTCCCCACCTTTCCCTATCTAGTTTTCCAAGACAAATCTTAGGCATAATCATTGATTTTTTCATCATACATGCTATGTATCTGTTAAGTTAGCAAGTCCTATATGTTCTGTTTTCATAACATATACCAGATAAAATCTGCTTCTCACATATCCAAGAATAAAACACCAGTTTATATCATTCATCTATGCTTGTCTCCTAACTGGGCTCCTAGCCTAGGATCTTCACTCCTCTACAATTAGTTTTCCATAGGGCAACTAGGGAAATATTTCTCTCTGGTTTAAAATCTTCCAGTGCCTCTTCAATGAAAAGAGAATAAAATCCAAAACTGTTTACCAAGATCTGTAAGGCCTTAAATAATTAGACTCTTGCTTACTTCAACAATCTTAATATTTTCCCAATCATCTTGTTCATGACATTCAATTCTATCAGAAAGCCCTTGAATCTGACAATCTTTCTCATGATCTCTGATTTCCAAGACCTTGCCATGACTGCCTTTGACTCATCATTCATGCCTCCTCATAAATATCTTCTCCTCAAAGTTTTTCCCTGTTCTCCCTGGCTAAAATAGTCTACTCCACATTCCATCAAATTTTACCATAATATCTTAATGTATCTTCTTATTAGCAAATGCCATTAACTGAAGTAATATAAATGTCATTATTTTACTGATGTTAATCAATTTTCTAAGTTTAAATGATCCTTCTTTCTTTGGATAAGATCACTTTGGTCATGGTCTATTATCTTTATAAACTGCTGGATTCAGTTGGTTAGTATTCTGATTTATAATTTCTACCTCTCCTCTAAGTTTGCAAATAAATTAGCCTCTAATTTCCTTTTGTGTAGCATCATTTGATATTATTATTGTTATTATGGTATTTCTGACTTCCAAGTTTGTGTTTTCTCTTTTTCTATGCTCTATAAATGTATGAGATTAAAATATTCAATTCCCTAGAAATTGTGTAGAATGCACCCCTAAAAGCATTGCTTGTTCCTTGTAAGAAGACTTTTAAATAATAAATTAATTTCTTGAATACTGTTATTCTGAATTTCTAGTTCTTCTTGTGTAGTTTTAGTAAATGATGGGGTCTTATTAACAATGTACTATTTGTCTAAGTTTTCAAATTTAAGTTATAAGTTGTTCTATCTCCTTAATGCTATCTCTATCTGTAGTTCCCTATTATTTTTATAAGTTTATTAGTGTATTTCTACTCTATTTTATAAAAACTAGCTTTGCCAGAAATATGCTTGTTTTCAGTTTTTTTAAAAGCCTAATATCCTTTTTAAGTATCTCTATTCTACCCATAATCTGTCTTTCATTGATTTCTGCTTTGATCTTATGTCATGCCTTCCACATGTTTCAGTTTTATTTTGTTTTCACACATTTTAGATTGGATAATTAGCTCACTGATTTTCAGTTTTGTTTATTTTCTGCAAAATTCATTAGATACTAGTTTCCTTAATTATTCTGCCTTTACTCCCCCACTCCTCAAATTTTATCGTGAATTATTTTAGTAATATCTTTAGATATTTAAATTTCCCATCACGATCTCTCCTATATTTCAACAATGTCTTTGGCTTAAAGTTTATTACGAATACTTGATTTTAATTTTATTTTTTATTTTTGTTTAGTATATGACTAGAAGTGACTTGGCAACTTGTCAAAAATCATTTGATTATATACATCCTAATGTATTTTTAGATTTCTTTTTTTGTTACATTGATCAGTTTATCTACACTGTAATATCTTAATTACTGTAGTGTTACAAGGAATTTATATCTTCAACTTTTCCTAAATTTCCAAACTTGCTTTATCTATTTTCTCCTTTATGTTTATATTTAAGATTTTAGTATCAGCTTATCAATTTTTACCAAAAAAAGTCTGATGAGATTTTGATCAGGACTGCATTGACATCTCTACAATATTATAAAGGACAATTGAATTTTATATGAAAGGGACAACACTTCAACAAAATTCTGTGTAGATTACATCGTGTTCACCACCCGAAAACTAATTATAGTCCATCCCCTCACATGTGAGCCTCATCACCCCTTTTGCCTTCCTCCCTCCCCCTTCCCCTGTGGTAACCACCAATCCAATCTCCATAGAGAAGATGTGGTATTTATACACGAGGGACTACTACTCAGCCATAAGAAATGATGAAATACGGCCATTTGTGACAACATGGATGGACCTTGAGGGTGTTATGCTGAGTGAAATAAGTCAGAGGGAGAAAGTCAAATACCATATAATCTCAATCATAAGAGGAGGTAAAAACAATGACCAAAAAATAGCAATTTTTCTTTATAATATTTTCATTTCATTGTTGGTGTGCATCTTAATCCTCTTTTTTGTAATTTTCACGTGGCTTTTCATCTGATAACCCATTTTCTTCCCCTCCTGCCACATTTTGCAGCATAAGGAATCATGAGGAGACTCCAGGAAGGAGTTCTTGGCAAAGGCACCTAGTTGAACTGCTAGTGGCTGGAGACAGTGTTCTGTGAATATATATTCTGAAATTTGTCTCTGTTGTGTAGTGTGTTTTCTTCTGAAGTTTAATACTCAGGATCTACATAGTCCATGAACTGAGGTCGACAGATAACATGTCTGGTTATTGTAATGCATAAAATCTTTGAGGCCAAGAACTAGCTTGTGTCAGTTTCTGTGAGCCAGCATACTTGTATCAGGACAGGTGAGCAGATGAGCGCAGACATCAGAAATATCCTGCTGCTTATTCTTACTTGCCTCTGTTCACCCCAAAACTACCTGGGGTTATGGTTTCACCTATAAACTGTTAGAGTAGCATTGGAAGAGTATAGTTCCTAGATCTTATTCCACAGCCCTGAGGCATTAGGTAGGCAGGGTGGTGGGTGTTTAAACATCAGAGGGCACAGCTTCAAGTGTTTTCCTCAACAGCTCATTCAGGTGAACACTGGCTGCTGCTGATGTTTCCGGTGAAAGGTCAGGCAATGCTTAGCACAATGAAGCATGGAGAATAAAGAATACTAGAAAAGCTCATCTCTGACTGTCCTCTCACTACAGAGGCCACTGCCCTCTGCCCATGAGCCACACACTTTCCAATCAACAACGGCATTCGCTTTCCCTTGGTAGTTACCAAGAGAAGAATGAGTTCTGCTCTCATTTTTGTTAATCAATGAAGGTCCTGCTCTATATGTCTTAAGATTTTTCAATGTTGTATGTGACTGGGTAAATTAGGCAAATTCCACCTTTTGAAACTAGTGTTAATCTGAAAACAAGAAATCAGTTCAAGATGCAAAGCGTTTATTTGGAATCAAAGAATTGCAATTTGTAAAAGTAAAGTGTACCAAGCTGTCAGGTGAGTCTGCTTTTATTAAGGTTTAGGAGGAACCAGGAAGGGTTGATTTGAACCCTCATGGGAGAAGGACAATAGTTCGAGGGTGTGGCAGTTTCTCCTTGGCTGCAAGCAGTGATTAGTGCCTTGTTACTGGGGCAGGGAGGGATCTTCCTTCCTCGTCAAAGCAGGAGATAAAAGTCCCCTGCGATTAATGTTCCTCCTTGTCAAAATAATTCTAATCTTCTTTCTTCCTAGGGTTACACAGGCTGGTACATCAGGGAGAGCCTTCCCTTCAGGGCTTCCTGACTCCATTTTAATGAGGTTTCCTTTATTCATTTTCACACTAGGTAATGACTTGCCCATAAATATAAGCCATATTTTCCAAACTATGATTTCTGAATTTTAAAAATGAAATTTGTGTCTCCATTTGATAGATTCATCTGTTTATATCCTCACTTAGCTTCTCTTGTTCACTGAAACAAGTATTGTGCATTGCCTCCCTCAAACTCCAGCAGACATACAAAAAATTTTAAAAGTCAAGTTCACTATGTCAGAATACCCATAGCATTATGAAATAGGGGCAAAAACATAGCAATTTTAAATACACTAAGATTTTCTACTAAGATAATGCTGATTAGGACATTTGATTCTGTTATTCTTCACCTATGCCCCACAAACCACTTCAAGGCAACTGATAAATAGTTTAAAAAGTTTTTTTTTTTTTAAAGATTGGTACCTGAGCTAACAACTGTTGCCAATCTCTTTTTTTTTCTTTTCTCCTTTATCTTCCCATACCCCCCATACATAGTTGTATATTTTTAGTTGCAGGTCCTTCTAGTTGTGGGATGTGGGACACCACCTCACCGTGGCCTGATGAGCAGTTCCATGTCCGTGCCCAGGATCCAAACCCTGGGCCGCCGCAGCAGAGCACGCAAACTTAACCACTCGGCCATGGAGCCAGCCCCTAAAAAGTTTTATTTTAATCTGGTTCATAATTATGTTAGCTACATAAATTTTTTAAAAATTCAAAATTTAAGCTCGAAATTAAAATAAATTAGTGATTATATATTGAGTATATGAAAAATTCATGAGGATTTTATAAGACTAAAATACATCACAGTCTTAACTTTTTAAAAAGGATATTTTGAATTCATGAGAGGAAAATGGTAAAAATTTTATATGTATTAAGTTTGATTAAGACTTCTTATAGGTCAAACATTTCTATCAGCAACAGAGACAAAGAACCCTAGAATCACCATGCAAATTTTAACATACTTAGAAATAATAAAATAAGAAAATATTTAACTATATATTAATCTAAATAGCATTCTATTTATACATCTTAGCCAAGCAAATTAAACCATACCATACCAGAGCAACAGCTCCTCCATACTGTCTCTCGCATATCTTCCCATGAAAGGTTGCACCAATATAATTTGACTTTTCTCTGTAACTTAAGTTTTAAAAAAGGATCATAATCAAATAATTATGTAAAATTAAGCACAATTAATATTGAATTTGCCTAATACAATGTTTTGTTTTGTGCGCTTATATAATAAATTCATAGATCTTTCCACCCCCATTAGGGTAACAAATCATAAGAAGTGACTGTGTCAGCTTCTGTTGAAAACAGTAGATTTAAAAACAAATATTAGAAAATGTATTCTCATATGGAATTTTTAGAAAATAACAAAGATTTTTTTTGTATGTAGTGTTTTTTAAAAATTAAAGTAATTCCTAAAATATCAAAATAATAAATAAAATTCCTTAAGATTAGAGTGCTAAGGTAATGTAGTTGATAAATGGGCAGAGTCACCTTATGAACTGAAGGCTCCCCTTAAGTAGATAGAATTAGTCTGGCACAGCCATGCAAAAGTGCGGCATATTTGTAGGACAGAAAATAATCTGAAACATTATAATTATATATATATGAATTTTATGTAATATAATAATATATAATATATAGGTCCTGAATATTGATAAGAGAAAACAAAGAGCTTATATAATAAAGAGGAGGCTTATATTTTTAAAAATGCAGCACAATATGAATATGGCACGTTAGAGATATTAAAATATACCATAGTGTTTTGATTTCCTTGTTATTTTTGTTATTATTTTATGGAAAAAAAGCATAAAAAGAAGCTCAAGTTACTATATTCATAGCATTCAGGTATGTTTCTTCAGATAGATATTTTTACCATTGTATGTATAGTTAGGGACATTTAATGATATATACTCTAAGAAGGCATATGGTAACAAAATTGAAGGAGTGAGGTGTAACTACAAACAATAAATAGACTACAGTACTACAAAAAATAAATAGAATAATTGATATCAATATTTCTGCCATAAGACCTGTGTTGTAAAAACTAATATTCACATGATGTTGTATGTAAGAAAAAATGGCACAAGATTTTTTTCCCTAAAAGCTTGACATCCTGATGATAGCCATATCAAATTGGATATGTTTTCTTTGTGTAAGATTTAGTAATGCCAAGATATGCTTACACGAGTAAAAGTGCCACATCATGCGGACGTAAAACAAGATAGGATCTTTTCCATTTTAAAAATCTGTGTAATAATTCATTAGCATCTCCGGTTACTGAAATTTTGTTTTCATCTATCCAAAGTTCCAATGAAGATAGAATTATTGTAACATTAAATGAAGTAAAGATCTAAAATAGGAAACATCGAGAAAATATATTCAAACATCATGGTTTAAATAAATTTGGTAATTTATCTGTGAAAATAAACATTATACTGATGACAAATATTAAACAACTGAACTGTAAGTCTAGATTGGCTCTTATAAAGTATATTAGTAAGTAATAAATACTGCTAATAAAACAATAATTAACATTTTGAAATGCTTATACTTAAGCAAGCTCCATTCAAGTGCTTTATTTAATCTAATCTGCACAATAATCTAAACGGGTATATACAGTTCCTGTTATTCCTATCAAACAGTTAGAAAACTGAAATTTAAAATGGTTGTATGACTTTCCCTATTTCACATAACATGTGTATTCAGGCAGTGTCATAAAAGGAAGTATTAGAATTATTTAAGTAACACAAGTGAATGCAAAAGTACTAAAAAGTGAACACTTACGGCATTGGTCAGTCCAACCAACTGGAAAACTTTTTGAGTGACAATAGCTGTATCAGAACCCAGATGACTATACTGAAAAAGATAACTTTCTTTTAGTCCTATATATATGTTGCTTAATATTTAATGACTACTACTCTGTCTAAAATTTGATATAATGAGTTAAGAAATTTTTTAAATTACCAATTTATTAGTTTTTAAACATTATTTATTATTATAGAAATAAAATATACATTCAGTGTGGAAAATAGAAAATCTAAAAAATTCCAGAGAAACACCACAAATTCTTTCAAAGGTAGAAGAGGAGGGAACATTTCCAAATTCATTTTGTGAGAATCAGAATTGCCCTGCTACCAAAATCAGACAGGGACATGACAAGAAGAGAAAATTATAAACCAATATCCCTCATGAACATAGGTGCAAAAATCCTCAAGAAAATATGGGCAGACAGAACTCAACAGCACAGTCAGAGGATCACACACCATGATCGAGTGGAATTTATTGTAGGGATGCAAAGATGGTTCAAGTCAGTCAGTGTGATACATCACATTAACAATATAAAGAATAAAGATTCTATGATCATATCAATGATGCAGTAAAAGCATTTAACAAAATTCAACATCCTTTCATGATAAAACTCAATAAATTGGTTATAGAGGGAACGTATCTGAACATAATAAAGGCTACATATGACAAACCCACAGCCAACTTCATGCTCAATGGTGAAAAGGTGAAAGCTTTTCCTCTAAGATCAAGAACAAGATAAGACTGGTCACTCTCACCACTTTTTTGTTTATTTCTTTTTAATTATTTATTGAGGTCATAATGGTTTACAATATTGTGTAATTTCAGGTGCATATTATTATATATCATTTTCTTTACAGGCTGCATCGTGCTCACTACCAATAGTCTAGTTTTTATGTGTCATCATACATATGTGCCCCTTTACCCCTTTCACCCTCCCCCCAACTCCCTCCCCCTTTGGTAAACACTAATCTGTTCTCTTTATCCTTCTGTGTGTGTTTATCTTCTACGTATGAGTGAAATCATATGGTGTTGTCTTTCTCGTTTCACTTAACATAATACCCTCAAGGTCCCTCCATGTTGTTGCAAATGAACAATTTTGTCTTTTTTATGGCTGAGTAGTATTCCATATATATATGGAATTGCTTGGGTTGCTTCCATGTCTTGGCTATCATGAATAATGCTACAGTGAACATAGGGGTGCATAAATCTCTTTGAATTGTTGATTTCAAGTTCTTTGGATAAATACCCAGTAGTAGGATAGCTGGATCATATGGTATTTCTATTTTTAATTTTTTGAGAAATCTCTATCCTATTTTCCATAGTGGCTGCAGCAGTTTGCATTCCCACCAGCAGTGTATGAGTTCCTTTTTCCCCACATTCTCTCCAAAATTTATTTTTTTTGTCTTGTTAATTATAACCATTCTCGCAGGTGTAAGGTGAGAACTCATTGTGGTTTTCATTTGCATTTCCCTAATAATTAGTGATGTTGAACAGTTTTTCATATGCCTGTTGGCAATCTGTATATCTTCTTTGGAAAATTGTCTGTTCAGATCCTTTGCTATTTTTTGATCAGGTTGTTTGTTTTTTTGTTGTTGAGTTGTATGAGTTCTCTATATATTCTGAAAATTAACCTGTTGTCAGACATATAATTTGAAAATATTTTCTCCCAGTTTGTGGGTTGTCTTTTCATTTTGTTCATGGTTTCCTTTGCCTTGCAGAATCTTTTTAGTCTGATGTAGTTCCATTTGTTAATTTTTTCTTTTGTTTCCCTTGCCTGCTTAGACATGGTACTTGAAAGTATACTGCTAAGACTGATATCAAAGAGTGTACTGCCTTTGTTTTCTTTTAGATGTTTTATGGTTTCGGGTCTTACATTTAAATCTTTAATCCATTTTGAGTGGATTTTTGTATATGTTGTAATATAACAGTCTACCGTCATTCTTTTGCATGTGGCTGTCCAGTTTTCCCAACACCATTTATTGAAGAGAATTTCCTTTCTCCAATGTATGTTCTTGGCTCCTTTGTTGAAGATTAGCTATCCATAAATGTGTGGTAGTATTTCTGAGCTTTCAATTCTGTTCCATTGATTGGTGGGTCTGCTTTTGTGCCAGTACCATGTTATTTTGATTACTAGAATTTTGTACTATATTTTGAAGTCAGGAATTGTGATCCCTCCAGCTTTGTTCTTTTTTCTCAGGATTGCTTTGGCTATTTGGGGTCTTTTGTTGTTCCATATAAATTTTAGGATTCTTTGTTCTATTTCCATGAAGAATGTCATTGGGATTCTGATTGGTATTGCATTAAATCTGTAGATTGCTTTAGGTAGTATGGACATTTTAACTATGTTTATTCTTCCAATCCAAGAGCATGGAATATTTTTCCATTTCCTTATGTCTTCTTCAGTTTCTTTCAAATCAATTTTTTTCAACAATGTCTTATAGTTTTCAGTGTATAGGTCTTTCACCTCCTTGGTTAAGTTTATTCCTAGATGTTTTATTCTTTTTTTGTGATTGTAAATGGGATCGTATTCTTTTGCGTGTGTGTAAGGAAGATTGGCCCCAACCTAACATCTGTTGCCAATCTTCCTCTTTTTGCTTGAGAAAGATTTTCATTGAGCTAATATCTCACCAGTCTTCCTCTATTTTATGTGGGATGCCATCACAGCATGGCTTGACAAACAGTGCTAAATCCATGCCCAAGATCCAAATCTGCAAAACCTGGGTTGCCAAGCAGAGTGTGTGAACTTAATCACTATGCTACAGGGCCTGCCTCAATGGGATTGTGTTCTTGACTTCTCTGTCTCCTAGTTCTTTATTAGTATATAGAGATGCAACTGATTTTTGTAAGTTGATTTTGCACCCTGAAACTTTGCTATTATTGTTAATTATTTCTAATAGTTTCTGCCAGATTCTTCAGGGTTTTCCATATGTAGAATCATGTCATCCAGAAACAGTCAGAGTTTTACTTCTTCTTTTTCAATTAGGTTTCCTTTTATTTATTTTTCTTGTCTAATTGCTCTGGCCAAAACCTCAAGTCACTCTCACCACTTTTACTCAATGTAGTATTGAAAGTCCTAGCCAGGGCAAATAGGCAAGAAAAAGAAATAAAAGGTATACAAATTGGAAAGTAGAAGTAAAACTGTCACTACTTGCAGAAGACAAGATATTATATATAGAAAACCCTAGAGACTCCACCAAAAAACTGTTAGAACTAATTTAAAAATTCAGTAAATTTGCAGGCTATAAAATCAATATGCAAATATCTGTTGCATTTCTTTATACTAGTAACAAAATATCAGAAAGAGAAATTAAGAAAACAATCCCATTTAAAATTGCATCAAAAAGAATCTTATATTACACACCTATCTTACACCAAACATAAAATGTCTAATAATAAATTTAATGAAGGAAATGAAAGACCTGTATAATGAAAACTATAAGACATTGATGAAAGAAATTAAAGAAGACACAAACGAATGGAAAGATATTCTGTGTTCATGGATTAGAAGAATTAATATTATTAAAATTTAAAAGCAATCTACAGATTCAGTGCAATCTGTAACAAAATTCCAATAGCATTTTTCACAGAAATAGAACAAATAGCCCTAAAATTTGTAGGGAATCACAAAATACCTCGAATAGCCAAAGCAAATTTGAGAAAGAACAAAGCTGGAGGCATCATGATCCCTGCTTTCAAACTATAGTAATTGAAACAGTATGGTATTGTCATAAAAGCAGACACATGGATCAATGGAGTGGAATAGAAAGCTCAGAAATAAACACATGCATAATGGTCAAATAATTTACAACAAAGGAGCCAACAAAATACAATGGAGAAAGGTAAGTCTCTTTAATAAATGATGTTGGGAAAACTAGAAAGCCACATACAAAAGAATGAAACGGGCCACTATCTTACACCATACAAAAAAATTAACTCAAAATGGATTAAAGCCTTCAATATAAGACCTGAAACCATAAAACTCCTAGAAGAAAACACAGGTGGAAAGCTTCCCATCAGGTGGCGATGACTTTTTGGATTTGACACAGAAAGCAAAGGCAACAAAAGCAAAATTAATCAAGTGGGACTACAACACACTAAAGAACAAATGAAATTTTCAACAAAATGAAAAGGCAACCTACTGAATGGCAGAAAATATTTCCAAATCATATCTATGATAAGGGGCTAATATCCAAAATATATAAAGAACACATATGACTCAAAAGCAAAAAAAGCAAACAATTTGATTAAAAATGGGCAGAGGATCTGAATAAATATTTTTCCAAAGAAGACATAGAGATGGCCAACAGGTACAAGGAAAGATGCTCAACATCATTAATCATCAGAAAAATGCAAATCAAAACCACTATTAGATATCACCTCACAACTGTCAGAATGGCTATTATCATAAAGACAAGAAATAACAAGGATTGTCACGGAAGTGGGGAAAAGAGACCCCTATGCAGTGTTTGTGGAAATGTAAATTGGTGCAGCCACTATGGAAAACAGTATAGAGGATCCTCAAAATATTAAAAGTAGAACTACCATATGATCCAGCAATTCCACTTCTGGTTATTTATCCAAAGAAAATAAGAACACTAACTCGAAAGGTAGATACCTTTCGAGCACACTCATGTTTATTGTTGCATTATTTACAATGGCCAGGCATCGAAACAAACTAAGTGTTCATCAGTGGAAGAATGGATAAAGAAAATGTGATTTATTTATATATGTATATATAAATATATATATTAGCTGTAAAAAGAAGAAAATCTTGCCATTTGTGACAACATGGATGGACCTTGAGGGCATTATGATAAGTGAAATAAGTCAGACAGAGAAAGACAAATACCATGTGATCTCACCTATATGTAGAATCTAAAAACAAAAAATAAAACAGAACAAAAAAGCAAGCTCATAAATACAGAGAACAGAGTGGTGGTTGCCAGATGCATGAGGTGGAGAGTGGGTGAAACGAGTGAAGGTGGTCAAAAGGTACAAACTTCCAGTTGTAAAATAAATAAGTCTTGGGGATGCAATGCACAGCGAAG